CTCGATCCCGATGCATAATCGTAAACATCACTTTGCATAATAAGAATGCTCCATCAATTCGTATTCACTTGCGTTGAGCTCCACCTGCCCCCGCCTCGCCCCGCCCCGCCCCACCATGACTCTATCTAAAGTGATATTAATTAAAAGATCATTTATATCAGTGCTCATAAAATAGCAAAATGTTAACCGCCACACGAAAAACTGCTGCTGACATACGATGGCCTCATCAGTGCCACTCGGCATCAACATGAGGATGACGATGAAGTTGGGACCAAGGCTGAGTCTGAGGATGTGGATGGGACAACAACAAGCTTGTGTGTGCCTGGGGCAATGAAAAGAAGTTGTCGCTCAGCGCGCTGATATTTATTGATACTGACAATGAACTCTGCCTTGTGCTTGGGCTGCTCCTTTGCTGCTGCCGCTGCCGCTGCTGCGCCTCGTCGGCTGAAGATGACAAGTTATGCAAATCGTGGAGACACCAAGATCAAAATAAACTGTACGCATGCAGCACACACACATACTCACACACACAGGTGAGTGGGTAGAGGACATGGGGACAAGGTCATGGGCCTGTCCGAAACGAGTGCAAAAGTGAAAGATTGATGGCGAAATTACTTGAAATGTTTGTACGGCCCGACGGCGAAGACGACCCTCTGGACATGGCTCCAGCCACAGCCGCAGCAACAACAGCAGCAGCACTTGCAGAGCTCATCCATGACGCTGCAAAGCGCAAACGTAAACGTAAACAAGGCAGCAACTTAGACAAATGTCGCGACGTCTCTGGCCAGCTCTGTTGATCAATCTGCAACGCCTACCCGAAAAGTTAGCCAGCTTAGTGCGAGAGGAAAACCTGTCTGTGCCTCTTGGCAGTCATGGGCCACTTGCCTCTTGCCTACTTTGTAGCTGAAGCACCACCACCAGCCCGACTGGCCACAGCCTGTCCAGGGCTTTGACTATGTGGCCATCAACTTGTCGCTGCGTTGTGCTCGTCGACTGGGTTGGGCCTGCCTTCAATCAGTCGAACGCAATTCGAGTTGACAACATGTCGCAAATGCGTGCGGCGGGTCGGGCCGGGGCGTTGCGGTACGTCTGTGGTGCAAGGCACTGAGGCATTGCCTCTGTGGTTCTTCCCTGGCTATGTTACAACATGCTGCACTCTTATGATTATATAGATTATATTGCGCTCGCCATGCGTCGTTCTACACCCTGCACCCAATGTGCGCTCAGTCAGCCGCATGTAATCCGCGTGACTGCATGCAACACTTGCCCCTCGTCGACAGTCGTGCAACTTGCTGGAACTGCAGCGCAGAGGACTGGCGTGATTGAAAGATTGAGTGCCAGGCACAATTAAAGTTCTGTATGATGTAGTATATGTACACAGCAATTGTCGCAATCCCAATTTGGCTTGGGGTTTGTCAAAGCAAATGCCTTGGAACAGGTGCCTCGAGTGCTTGAACAGCATTCAGGATGGGCATCGGGCAAGGTGCGATATGGACTGACACTTTGAGTTATCTATGAGTATTGATTAGCTGCTTAAGTAGATCATGATAGATCATTAGCATCAGCTCTATAATCGTTTACGATTTTTATTTACATAAAGCTTAAGTTTAAAAATAAAGAATATTTTAATATTCAGTATTTATATATATGCAAAGCAGACCAAACCCCAGAGGTCTAGGAAGCTGAATTAGCATATGTGATGCATGGGTACGTTTTGAATAATTCCACCCGCAACTGTGAAAAATGGGTGGAAATCGCTTGTCTTTAGACTTCTGTGGCTATAAACGATCAATTTAAAAGTACGGTGCATTTAGATTTAAATTTAATTTAAATTTTCCAAAGACGGGAAATAGTTAATAAAGTTATGCCTTAAATTTCATGCCAGAAACCTGATCCAGGCAATGCCGGGTAATACCCGTTGGCTTGTTTATAAAAGAGCTTAAGATAAAAAGTTATTCTTGTATTTATACTGTTATTTTCTTCACTATTCGTCATCATGCTATCTAATTTATTCCGCCAGATTTATAAAACAGGAAGCTGGCTTGTGAGAAAATGGCATGACTTGTCTGCCTATCTTGCAGATATATTTATATACATATATTTAACTTGAAGATAAGTCTAAGTATTTGCCCAGCGGCGTTTACATTTCCCCACATGCGTGTTTGAAGAAACAAATCATAAAATACATCACTCTTGGACGCTATCAAACGCTTTTCAATGGCCTTCAGCGCGCACCTGTCCACACTGTAATCGCCGTGCATTCTGTGGGGCAGGTGCAAGGCGTAGGGGAGGAGTGTGGATGTTGCATCAAGTTGAACATGGCGGAAATGCGCTGCGATTCGTTTGCCCGTATATATGTGCAGCATGAGAGATACATTAGGTGGCATAAAAGACCGGCTTATTGACATGACAATAAAATGCTCAACAATCAAAATAATGCAAGATTTACTGCAAAAATATTGAAAAGAAGAGGAAGACGCCGAAAAGAAAAGCCAAGACCGGCGGCAGGCACAAAAAGTGCATTGGAAATGCACAATAAAATACAAAAACGAAAACAAAAAAAAAACGCGCTTAAAAAAAGGTGAGCAGCGAAAATTTGCAGTAATTTGAGATTACGTTTGGCATTATGAGCGGTGAGGCAGCCACAGCCCGCCGCATGCCCCAAGGCCCCAAGGCGAAACCGTTGCCAACTGTTACTGTGGCGACAGCAGAAACTCAAAAGAGTCGCCACCAGGCAGAGGCTGGTGGTTGGTGGCTGCTGCTGGAGACAGTAGACGCCAGCGTGGCACAAAAGCCGCAGCTGTTAATGAATGGCAATGGCTTTGTTGGTAATGGAGTGTTGGCCATAATGCCATGGCTATGGCTATGACTATGGCTATGGCTACGGTTATGGCCATGCCGCTGCCAACATGGCAAAGGCGACGATGATGACGACGACGACTTCGACGTCGACGTTGACACTGTGCAGATAAGCTAGATAAGAAAAGTCCAAGCTGTCGAACTCATCGGCTCCTTTTGGGGGGATGCAGCTCAGCAGCGAAGCAATTAGCCATGGCCAACGGTTGGGCTAATTCAATGCCTAATGCCACGTTATTAAGCGTAATAATATAATAAAAGCTGCTAGTGAAAGGCAGCTGTTAATATATATAGTTCTTTATGAAAAAAGATCAGATGAGCACCCCTTTAGAAAGTTCCAATCGAATTAAAGAGTTTTCAAAAACTAGGTAAACAAATGATTATCTATAGGAAAAACGAGGACACATTTAAATATGCAAAAATGTTTTTAAATGAATAACTTATCTGGAGGACAACCCAAGACTAAACGGACATACCAAAAATTCTTAATTTTTTGACCAAGTTTTGAGTTTGAAGTGCAGGAAGATCATTTAAGATCTTGTCCTGCCTTTTCACACATAGCTTGTGTAGCAGAGAGGGGTGTGTGTGTGAGAGGAGAACGTAAGAGCCAAGGGCTAAAACCAAAGCTAATGTTGTCTGCTTGTGGGCAAATATTTGTCTTTGATTTAAGCCGTAGTTGGACTTGGACGGCAACTCCCTTTGAGCAATGGTCATTGTCTTGACCGTTTGGTTATTTTCACCAGCGCATGGTCATCTCTTTTTGTGGCATGTAGAAGGGGGGCGCAATGCCAAAATGACATGCAAGACAGAAATCATGATTTGTTGGCCGAGTCGCCGAGTCTCCGGGCTTTGGGTCTCGGGTCTCGGGTACTGGGTCTCGTTTACAGCTGCGCCTTCAGCGTCAACAATGAAATTGTCAAGTGTTGACAAATAAATTTGAGGATTCGAGAAGATTTACTTATGCTAATGAAAGACACTTGTCACAAATATCCACACATAAATCTCGCCATCTCACTCGCACACCGTCTCACTCGCTCCTTAAGCCCATATCCATGCGGCATCTTCTTTAAGTGCGGGCCGTTTGTCGACAACGTTGCCTTGCATAAATATGCACATCAAAACCCCAAGTTGGAGCTAAGACTGGGGCTGCAGCTGGAGCGGAGCTAGAGCTAGAGCTGATACTAGCCTGGAGACGGCCAGTTCTTGTGCAAAATAGCAAAAGTACCGTAACAAATTGCCAAGTTAAAGAATTTGACGAGAGATGCAAAATGAGCGGGAAAGAGTTGTTCGTGGAATGGGCTTGAAAATGGAAATGGGTGTTGGGACAGTCATAGAACATGCGCTACGAATACCCACATAAATATTTATGAATTTTCAGGGATTTAGTTGTTGTAAATGGAAAATAAAAAGAAGGTATAAATTTGTCTAGCACTCCGGCGTTTTGGATACCGACTTAACTTCCTGCATGTCAGACATTTAATTTCGAATATACGTATGTATCTTTAGCCTCGGCAGGTACGCTGCTCATTAAGTTCAAGATTTCACACGCTCATCAATTGACGCCTATATTGAGTTAAAAATCCTTTTACCAGGTAACAACATTGTCTGCAGGTGGCGTGTAATAAAAGCAGCGCCAACATTGTAAAGTACTGAAGAACCTCCATCTGCATGTAGCTGTGAATTCAGCTAGATAAAACAATAAATCTCTAAAATACTTATAACCGCTAAATTGCACTCACTCACTCTCTATCCCTTACTCGCGCTCTTACTCTCTCTCTCTCTCTCTCTCTCTCTCTCTCACTCGCACGCTAGGGCTGACACTGAGTGTCGGCAGCATAATTGAGTAATTAACCAAAATGCGCTCGCAACATAACGAAACCTGTTTGCACTCGGCGCACTCAACATACGGGCAAACAGGTTTTTGAGTGAAATGGAACGGTATGAATTGAAACCAACACGAAAACCAACCAGACTGGTTGGCTAGCAGCTCGGTTTGATTGCAACTGGTTGCATTCGCTTCGGTTGGAGCCGCAACACTTCGGTTGGCCACTGAGTGACAAACATTCGGTGAGTGCATCAAAATCCAACAGACCGCTTGAGTGAAACGACGCGCTGCGTTTGGAGTCAGTTGATTTTAGGCGCTCGTACGACAAAATTCGGCGCGGCCGCTCGTTTTGTTCTTTCGCATTTCGTTCGTCTTTCGCACATGACGAGAAATTCGCAAAATTCGCCAAACAAAAAATTATAAAAAAATAAAAATTAAAAACAACAAATAAACGCCAAAACCAAAATTGATCGGAAATTAACAAAAATAAATAATTTAAAATATTAATTTTATGTTGTGTGTTGTGCCTAAAAGTGCCTCTCGCTCTAGCTGCCTCTAGTAACAAATTGCATTTACAGTTAAAATTAAATTACACACAAACTCATACACACACACATAGATTTAGAATTGATAAAGTGCCAAAGTTATAGTTTGTGCAACAAATTGTTGCACTTATACATCAGTGCAAATTGATAATATACAACAAAGTGCAAAAAAAAATTTCAGTAAAATTAGTATATAAATGCATATTGTATAGAAATTTTCTTCGCTAAGAAAGTTGCGAACAAAAAAAAAAGTTCGCTCAGCTCGCAGTGACGCCTGCGCAGCTGCAAATTCTAATTGGATATTTTTTGCAAACAGGAAACGGAAGCGACTACACGCCATTTGTAAAAAACTCGCGCAAATAGAGGCTAGAACAAGGTAAAATGCCGTAAATTGAATGAAAACTTTGCATATATAAGATTTCTGCATAAATATTTCAACTGTAATTAGCCGCAAAAAGCTGCCAAAAATAATGTCACTCAAAACCAGCCAAAAGAAACAACAACAACAACAGCAACAGCTTTGAGCGACACTTTGACATTATTTGCAGTTGGGCTTTGTTTTGTTTTGTTTGGTTTTGTTTTGCTTTGCTTATCTAGTCATGTATCTGTTGTAGCCTGGTTTTATAATATCCATGATTAAATTTGACAGTTGACAACTTTTCTCGTTGTCTGCTGCCATTTGAGTGTTTGTGTGCGTGTGCTTGTGTTAATGTCTATGTTTCTGTGCATTTTGTATAAATTGACAATTCAACTGGCGTTTTACATGCCGCACAACACACACACACAAACGCACACCAAATTATCGGCATTGACCCAATGTGCGTGTGTGTGAACGCTTTACAAGCTACTTAATGTTGGCATAATAATATAATACTTATGTACAATAGCCGGAGCGGCAGCAAAATGACAACACATTAGGCCCATTTTACAAGGGCGTGACTTTATAGCTTGGCCTTTCTTTGTTTTTGTTTTATTTTATTTTATTTTTTGTGCAAACTTTAAAATAGTTGAAAAGTCATAGAAAGTCGCAGTTCTGCATAGTCAGGTGTCAGGTGACTTTTTCTATTTGCTACTTTTTTGCCTTTCTTTAAAAAAGCTAACAAAGTCAACAGTGAAACAAAACTTGAGCTCAATAATTTTAGATATATGTTAAGAATTTTTTTAATTTTTTTTATTTTGTGTGTGTCCACTTTTAAAAAAAAACGCATAAAGTTGTTCAGTTGGAAATTTACAAACTTTTCGTATTCAAATAGATATGCGTATATTTGTTATTGTTTCATGATCGTATATTGATATATATGCAATATATGATATAGCTGTCATAAGAAATATTGCTCAAAAAGTAGGATCTCGTATGAAAAACGTTCTTGTTTTTTAAGACATCTTTCCCAAACCTGAGGTTAAAATTTCAGTATAGCCCTTCATCAACATCGGACTTTTATATCATATAGCCGACATAGGAACAATCGAAAAGTAGGTTCATGTATCGAAAACTTTTTTATTTATCAATTTATCTTGACCAAAATCAGCATTTCAAGATTTCACTCTGCTGGTCATATGAGCCAAATCTTTGCAATATCGCACTACTGTGTTATATAGCTCACTATGGCAAAATATTCCCTTTTTCCCAAATAATTTAACCGAACTCAGTATTTTAAGCTCAGTACATTATTAAGGTTTTATAAATTGGTAATTTTTGTTTTTTGTTTTTAAGAAAATGCCCATTTTCCCATAAAAATGATGTTTATTTTATAGTCCATATATAATTAGTAAATTTAATTTTTAATTAATGACTGTGAACGCTTGCATTTTAAATTAAATCCAAATATAATTTGAATTTAAGTAGAAATTATAATTTTCCAATTATCGCATGCATTTAATGGTTTTATTAAATATAAAAATAATATTTAACATGTAATTACTATGAAAGGCCATTTTCTAACAGTTTTGTTTAAAGGTAAAATAAACAATTACAAAAAAAGTGATTTTTAATTACAACGCAATCCGAGTTTTACTAACATCCTATCTTTCTGGTAGTTGTAGATTATTTAATTAAAAGCTATTGTGCTTAGTCGCAACTTTTCGCACAGCTGTGAAAGCCAACCCAACATCCTATTACGTCTTTAATATAATCTCATCATAATAATAGTGTCATGAAATGAGCTTGACCGCATATCACATGCATATTAATTAGATATTGTTTTGGCCTTGTTACAGTTCGGCAGAACACATTACAGCCAATAATAACTGGCAATCAGCACGACTGAGCCACAGAGCCACAGAGAGAGAGATAGTGTAATGTGGCAATGGACACGTGCCAATTAGCATTAAGCCAAATGTTGCACAAAGCTAACCAAAGAACTACATAAAATTGACTTTTAGCCAGCTGCAAGCACATTAAGTATACGCAACGTGCCCGACCAAAAGTTTCAATTAGTTGGCAAAACTCGAGTCAATTAACAGCTAGTCAATAGCAATAGCATCGAGAACTTGCCACGTTAATGCGAATACAAACAAATATATGTAAATGTAAATATATAAATGAGCCAGCTCAGCAGCAAATAGATAACAAATGCCAATAGAAATCTCTAATTAAAAGCTTGACAATAGTTGCAGCCAGACACAGCAGCAGCAGCAGCAGCAGTAGCAGCAACAGTCTCTGTTGCAGCAACCACTAAGCACTGCAATGAGCCAGACATCAAGATCTCTGGCAAAACAAAGGTGTCTGGCTGCAAGAGTGTGTCTGAGTGTGTGTGTTGTGTGTGTGATTGTCTCTCTAACTGGGAAGCCGGAGTTGAAGTACCTAACAAGGCGACAACGATACGGCTGCTTATCAAAGCCCACCCTTGCCCCCGCTTTGTCTCATTTCATTCATGAATGTTTTGTTTTTTAAAATTCGCTCACATGTGTTTGAGGACTGCACAGAATCCCCCTAGCTCAGACTAAGGGGAATATACACACACACTCACAGAGGAAGAGAAAAAAAGAAGGGTGTCTCAAGTTCAAGTGCAGCTTGTGAAGGCTTCCTTCCGTTGCACTGGCCCCGTCTAGACGTGGCAGACACTGCCCCAGACTAAACAGAGTTCAAGACGTCACAAGAAGTGGGAATCAACTTTGTCGCAAAAGCAAAGAGAAAGAAATGTTGGCAATTGCCGTTTGCCGGCCGATTTGAATAAACATTAGACAGCGGGCTCCGAGAAGGAGACGACAACATTCTGTGTGACAGAGCCAGTAAAGAGCCGGCAAAGAGTGAGAATTATAATGGCGTTGTGTTCATAAATTAGCTGAACTCAGGCACCAAAGCAGCACAAGAAAGAGCCGACCCAAAGGCGGTTTTATCATCTAAATAAATAAGAATGAGTATATATATAGATAGATCTACATATGTATAAACTATGGCCACAGTCTATAGACAGAGACATCAACGGGGTTCGTTTATAAAGCGGCTAATTTGAATTAAACGAGTCCAATAGCAGACGCAGCCCGTGCCCCCTGCTCAACTTTGTGGCAGCTTAAGAGCTTAGTGCTAGCTGCAAAAAATACAAACAGATAGAAGTAGAAGCAGAAGAAGAGGCAGTAACATAGCTGGCTCTATGATTGGGCCCCGTCTGCTCATATGCCGCGTACGTGTTGCAAATAACATTTGTGAATAATCTAAATCTAAAAATTTGTCAGACGGAAGTCGCAAGCAGCTAACAAAACAGCTAAAAGTTCGTGCGCTTTGGGCTTAGGCATACAAAAGAGCTCAGAGCCATGCTCTAAAGGGCGAATCGGTAGAGATTACTTTTTACCTTATTTCTGCTATAGAATTTTCTTATCAAGCTGCCGCAGCTGGCCTCGTGCTGCTTTTTATGTAATGTTTAATAAGTTGCACTTGCTGCCAAAAAAAAAAAACAATTAGCAAAAGTTTTTTGCGGAAAACAAAGTTGTGCCAAAAGAAAAGTTCTGTCTGTTAGTTTGTTGATTTGAGCACGTTTTAGCTGTGCCCAAACTAAGATACAATTGCTTTCGCCTTGTGTCATATGCGACTTTTATCTGTGTTTGCTTTCCCACAGTCTTTGCAGCTAATCAAAGACTATGCAAATTGCTTCTATAAACCTTGCGGAGGGTATTCTAGTTTTGTCACGAGGTGTGTAACGCATAGAAGAAGACGTCTCTGAAAGCAGAAAGTATAGACATATTCTTGTTCTGAGTTGACATAGCCTGACTCTGTTACTATGCCATCTAGTCTCTCAGTTATGAGGCTGGAATCTTAGAACTTCTCATTTGTGCCTCTTTTTGTTGCAGACAGTAGCTCAGAATCGAATTACTATATAATAAAGCTCTCTCTAGAAAGAAAAAGGTCTGAAAATGTGCTTTTGAAAGAAACGTTTTTGTTTTTCAAGTTATCTATCTTGACCAAACTCAAACATAAGCTATGTGTATACAAGGGCATTTAGTCTTCGGCGTGTCGCTCTTTCTTATTTTTTATCTAATCTAAACTGGGAATGATGCGACACATGTGAGTATTATAAAAAGTTTACATATATATGTAATTTAGTTATGGCCCAGGCAGCAGGCAGCAGACCATGGCCAAAGCTTTACAGGCTTAAGCAAGAGTGAGAGGGAGAGAGAGGGAGATAGAAGGAGAGACGCCAACTCCAACGACTTTAATATGGGCTCATGATGAGCTCTAATTTTGAAATTATACCAAATTATTGCCGGCTGTAGAAATAAAAGAACTGAAGAACTTTGGAGCTAGCGAGCTGGAGCTCAAGTGGTTGTCAGTTGGGTGTTCAGCTTCAGCTTCAGCTTCGTTTTCGGTTTCGGTTTCAGTTGCGTTGTCTTAACTTCAAATTGTCGCTGCCTGTTATTGCTCTCGTTGTTGTTGCCGCTTGCCATATAACAAGTTAATTTTCATGTAAATTTCTGTTTTGGGCCCGGCTGGCTGGCAGCCTTTCAAGCCAGCAACAACAAGAGCAACCGGTTAACATAATCACTTAATTTGCTGATTGTGTACGTGGCTCGTTTTTGGATCGTAATCGTGGGCGCCCGTATGGGAAATGGAAATGGGCAACAGTGAAAAATATTTGAATCTAAATCGTCTTCTAAAACGTCTCAGTTCCCAAAAGTGTCAATATTATTAAGTGATGATGTTCAATATGTTCTCAAGTCTGATAAATGAGCTGTGGCTCGATAAAAACCAACACAAAAAACTAACAACAATTGATGACAACAAAAGAGCTGCAAACGAAACTTGAGCCAATGGACTAGAAGAAGCAGAAACAATAATAAAAAATATGAAGTAAGCCAGAATGCGGCACTCTCTAAGCCCAGTTGATAAATTGTGTGTGTGTGTGTGTTTATTTTGCTACCAGAAAATAATTTACCAAAAAC